TTTTTGCATCGTCTCCTCCAAAATTCTGTGAATTCGATTACGGGTTTATGTTGTTGGATACTTATTTGGCGGGTATCTTCTTTAGGAGAACTATTACGTCTTGCATGAAAGCTGTTCGACGAATTGCCTGAACGGGAGGTTGAATTTACTTATTGTGAATATGGTTACAGATTGGTCAATTAGACAATGGTCTTGGTTTCGATTTTCTATTTCAATTCATATCTATGAATAAGGAAGGCTATTTAGTCTTCTGTTAACTAATGTAATTTGATGAGGATAGTAATCACCATAATTCTTTTGAAGAGAATCCCATCTCTGTTTCTTTTTCTCTAGGTTTTTTTTCCTCTCTTCTTTCCAAGGTGACATTTTTAACTAATTTTTGGCAGAATGGAAGATGAAGAAGACAAACTGAAACGTGAATCAAAGGAGAAGATTTTCCAGATTTTTAGAGACATTTTGACGAGGTAACAAGAACAACTTAGGCACTGTCAGTTTCCTTGAAGTTGACAAACTGAAACGCGAGTCAAAGGAGAAGATTTTCCTGATTTTCCAGAATTTTCTCTTCCTTCATAGTATTAGTGTCTCAACAAAGGGAATGAGTCTTCTGATTGTCCTATCTATTTGGTTTTTAGTTTGTTTTGTTGCATCAGTTGAACACATTGGCATGAGATTGGATTCACGTGCTGTATAGCTCCTAGGCTCCTACACATTTTCACGTGCAGTGTTGTTTCTTTTCCATGGAAATTTGAAGTTAGGAAGTGTGGAGTTTTCTTGGAACTAGTTTGACTACTTTTAAATCTTTGAATGTGGGTTTTGTCATTTTAGGGTTGCAGAACTCGAGGAATTGGGGGCTGTAGGATACAGACTACTTATGGGTTTCCACCAAGGACTTGGTAGGTGCTACAGAATTATGTTTGTCATTTGTCACCAGTGTTAATGGAGTTGCTTGCCAGGTTTCTTAGCAAAAGTTTATTCTGGCTGCAGAATTTCTTAGACGGCCTCCAATTAACAAGACCTCTAAGTTAATTGGTAGCATTATTGAAGCAAATGAGTCAAAGATGTTTGCATCTTACCTTGAAGCTGGTTGCATGAACAGTCATGATGTTGTACAGAATACAAGCAAGTGTAAGTCTCATCATTCTTTGGTGTTAGTGGATACTTGGTAGATGTTTGTAAATACTAGGAACCATCTTCTCTGCAATACTGTTTTATGAATCTTTCTTTTCATAGAACATGGTTTACAAGTTCTCAATTCTTTATGGTTTTACCATACAAATCACAGACTTCTCATGTTCTAATTTGAGCCACAGGAGTGAAACTCAAAGTTATCACATACACAATTTGTTTATTTTTTTTAACTTAAGACTTTTATGCTCTACTTACCTTCCATATTCTGCTTGTTTCATAAAACTTCTGTCCAATTGCTATGACTGTTTGTATCAGAAGTACATACATGCCTACTTGGACTGCATGATCATTTGATTAAAGGTAACATTCACTTTCTAGTTTTACCTTTATCATGCTTAATACTATCTTAATTTCATTGGAATCTTTTCAATAGCATATGAGGGTATCTTTTGTTTTTTGTTCCTGTGTTGATTTGTAAACAACATTGAGTTGCAGCTAAAAGCATACTAAATGGCATTAAATGCCGCTTGGAGGATGCAAATGATGCATTGCAAACAGCAAACAAATGTTCGTCAGCTTTCTTGGATAATGCTGACAAGTTAGATCAACTAAAAGAAATTAACAGTGAGGTTAGTTTTGTGTTCAACAGCTTCCAACTTTCCACTCAAAATTTCAGAGTAAAACATATGTCCTTTTGTTTGTCTATTTTCTATATTCTCTTTCCTAATTCTACTTGCATAGTAAATTTCTGTATTTGCTTTACTTTTTGACAAATAGATGTTTGGTAAATAGTCTGTGTCCAATATTGTTTTTCTATGTCCCCCTCTTTGGTTTAATTTCATTCTTGTTAAGGAATATACAGTTTTTGTGTAGATTCTGAACTCTGAGCCAATGATACAAATTCAGTTAGCACATTTCACACAAACTTTTCTAAGATTGATCTGTCTCTCCACTGATTTCAATGCTAGACTGTAAAACATCCCATTGGGTAGTGGTTCTGGTGCAACATGTCTTGAGTTTTAGATTTTAAGTGCTAGACTGTTTTTATTTTTCAACTGGGGAAATGTCCAAGTGGTGCATAATTCTGTTATTTTTTATGGTCTATCATACGTAAACCAGCAGAGCTCTTCATTTTATGGTCCTTCTGCTAATACAAGCTTTAATCTAAAGTTAAACCCTTTTTCACTAGGAGGATGTGCCTTCCTCTCATCTTGAAGAACCTCAAATGACAGATTATGCTGCCTTGATAGCGATGATTTATAGCATGGTGAAGCAGGACTATGTAATGCAGGTAATCATCTTTGCATGGTAGAGTACGTTCCTCATGACAACAAGCATGCCCATAATATAGAAGCAGAGACATGGCATAGTTCTTTTGAGGATATAGATTGTTGACAAAATATAACCTTTTGCAGGAAAAGATAGTTACTTCTCTAAGTCTCAAGTCATCACAGGGAGAACTAGAGTGCTACTGCCTGATGTGGTCTTTGAGGCCATTTATAAATGATCAAATTATGCGTCAAGCTTGGAGTCTTGTTACTTGAATTCATCACGGGTGATTATCCCCCTTATAAGGATTCCATTCTAGAAGTGATCATTCTTTTCTGTGATTTTTTTTCTACTTCTAAACTATAAAGATAACTCTCT